TACAATCTGAAGTCAAAAAGTATTTCTGATTTTATTTCATGTTTTTAAACTTTTCATTTAACTGCACATCAATGATTTCACTAAATTTTAAATGAGGCTATTAGGATAGAGAAAATAAAGAGATAAAGTACAGCTCCAATGAAAAAAAAAAAAGACGTTCATTAGAAGGTTATACAAATGAAATATGAAACTAAGATGAAAAGAAGTATTTTTTTTCTTAGCATAAGGCTGACTCAGTAAAGGCTTTGTAAATTAAGACACACATTTAGTAAAAATAATTTATTAACAAATCTGATTTTTTTGTGTACAACATACTTGTAATGTTTATTAAAAGCTTGTATATATAAAAGACACGGTGATTTGTAAGCATAATAAAAATGTTTAATACATACTACATGTTTCGACAGTGCCTCTGGTGGTACGCAGACAACTTTTATTTTGATAGTTATATATTTATTTTAATACGTATTAGAAAAAATTTCAAAGAAAAAATAAATTTTAATGAGTTCATTACATTATCTGCTGACAATTAAGCTTTGGCTATTATTCAGAGGTTTTGTTCATCATCTGGCTCATTGGCTAGCTGCTATTCAGAGAGAATGTGTAAAGACATACCAAGAACTATGTTTGTTAGTTAATGTTAGATGAAGATTCTCATTTTATGATTGTGTGTCTGCACGATTGTTTTATTTTTTTTCTTTTTAAACCCATCATGGATCAGTGGTTAAAAACTATATTATTACTTGTAGCATGCATTCTGATTTTCTTTTCACTATGTCATTTTGAGATGAGAAAAATAATGTTTTGAAATAAATATAATGGTAAGTGATACTGGTTTTCCATTTATCCTAGTGTTATGAAATTTCCTTTTAAAATAAGTTTATTTAAATGAAAAAGTGAGTTGATTTAAAGAAAAATATTATGTACGCATATATGGCAAAAATTGTGAAGGTGGTACACGAATGACTGAAGTTTGGGAAGCACTGTTTTAGCATAATGTGCTTCCCTACACAAATACTAAAAGCTTAGCAAATTTTGTGAAGATACTCTTAGTACATTCAGTTATAGTATACATAGTTTCATGGTGGTTACAAGGTTGGTCAAACTGACCAACCTGTTGGCATAGGGTTAAATTACACACTCCAATCCTTCAGACTTCTGAAAGGTTTTAAGTCTATACCCCAAAGATTTAAAATTCTGTTAACCTGGATGATAGTAATAGTAGCTCTTCAGAGTTAATAACCAAATATACAGAACTTATTCAGAGCTTTAAAAGATAGAAATTACTGAGAAGCTCTTTCAGAAATTCTTTCTTGTGTAAGGTTCAGACAGTAAATTTCAAGCAGTGTAAGGAAAAATCAGGAGACGATTACAGATATAAGATTGCCATCTATGCTTATACTATCATTTGGTTTCTGGTCTGTCTCTATAAAACTTTATATTTCTTTGGAACCAGACTATGTATCCAATCATCAAAATAGATAAGCTTGTAAAACTTTTATTTTAAAGGTAACAAATGAATGAAAAAAGTGTTTGATGAATAGTAGGTGTCCGAGAAAGATCTGCATTTGAAATAAATGTGACAACCATTGTGGCCATAGCAGCTACATGTGACATTTCAGCGTATGGTCTTTTCTGCTATGACTGTCTATTATGATTCTAATTCTAACTTTTGTTAGCTGTTTTTTCTGTTTCTCCAATCCACTGGGAGTCTACATCCATAATGATGTTATGAATAGTTTTTTTTTCTCAGACTTTTTACATAGGGGAATATAGCTGTGTCGGTAATTTTCTTCTTGTTTATTTTTCAAGTTTATCTTTATTCTCTTTATCAAGTGTTGAAGATATTCATTGTCAAAGAGGGCTTTAGAAGTATGTTTTCTTCCTTTTCCTTAGCCATTTCTGTATTACATATCTTGTTCATTCTGAAAATTAAACAGTCTATAACTCTGTTTTTTACACTATTGGGGTATTTAGATAAATGATCAAGATTCTTATCAGTATTTGTGGGTTTTCTGTAAACTCCTGTGGTATATTAGTTGTATGTCTTGGTAACAAGGATATTATTTTCTTCTATTTCCATTGTGAATTTTATTGCTGGATATGGGTTATCAGAATTTGAATTATAAGTATAATTTGGATGGGAATAACCTTAATAGTGGTATAAAGGAAAGGAATCTTGGTGTAATAATCAATCAGTCTCTAAAGCCATCCAAGCAGTGTACTGTTGCTAGTGGTAGGGCAAATACAATTTTGGGTTGTTTCTATAGAAATATTGAATACAAGCCTAAAGAGGTTATACTTTCATTGTACAGGTCACTGATTCGGCCACATCTGGAATATTGTGTTCAGTCTTGGGCTTTTTACCTTAGGAAGGACACTGAATTGTTGGAAAGGGTTCAGAGTAGGGTTATTAGAATGGTGCCTGGGATGAAGGAGTTGTCATATGATGAGAGGCTGTAATATCTGTAAAAGAAGCGTTAGGGGGGATCTGGTGAGGTGTTTAAGATTGTAAAGGGAATTGATAGTGTTGATGTATCATCTTTTTATATCTAACAATGAGAATAGTAGGACTAGGGGACACAAATATAAATTTTGGCAAGGTAGGAGTCATCTTCAGCTAAGATAGTTTTATTTTTCTAACAGGGTGGTTGGCCTTTGGAATGGGTTGCCTTCAAATGTTGTAAAGGCAGTAAATTTAAGTGAGTTTAAGAAAAAGCTTGATAAGTATATGAATGAAAAGGGCTGGTTTAAAATTTTATTTTATTTTTTCAATAATTTTAATTTAGTTTTGAGGATGGACCAATAGGTCCCATGTTGTCCCAAAATATTATATTATGTATATATATATTTTTTCAGGTTGGATACAATGAAGTTGATCAAAGTGTCTCATGAATTTATTGTGGTTGCTTTTATAATCTTCACAAAATGGAAAGATTTCTTAATATGCAAGTATGTTTTACCACTTAATGCTAACATTTATAACTACATATAAAAAAGATAAAGGATTAAATCCTGGCCACTACGAATACCATCACATAGTGCCAGTCTAGTTCTACTAGAAGGGTTGATAGTAGGGGGTTTCAGTGTTATTTAAATAATGAAAATAACAAAAATTCACACACTATCGGGTTCCACAGTCACAAAGTAGTAGATTTACACTGCAAGTTTAATCATTTAGTACATAATTAATGGAAAACAACTCAAATCATGCCTGTAAAAAAGGCCTTTCACTCCACACTACCTTTCCATTAAAATAATGTTAACAAAATGTCAGTGATTTATCACTTTACCTGGTAACATGATACTGCATGACACCCGTGTCAAGGCAAGATAAAATGTAGTCCCATTAATGTCCATCCATTTGAAACTCATACACATGTATTCATATTATATGGATAAATAAAACTGACAATAACCAAATGTTAATAATAAAGTATGAGCTTACTTATGTACCTATGAAAGAATAGGTGAGATTTTGTAATCATATTGGTTGAAACTTGAAATACCGTAATTGACAGGTACATATCAGTAGTAACCTATACCCATTCTACATCATGTCATGATGTAATTCATACATCATTCATAGCCACACCTAAAGATATAACATATAGCAAACTACTGTCAGGACAACATAGTCTGCTTACAACTGATATGACGTAAAGCAACATGTTGCCAAGGCAGCATATAGGCTGTTTACAATCCCCATTTATCATTCTTTGACATGCTATCTGGTCGAATTGGACAGACATATCTATGTTTCAGTTTATTTATTATGTAGTCCACAACACCAAGTTTATTGTGTACCCTTGTTTCTATCAATTCAATGACTACAAGGAATTTTAAATGGTTTTTAAGTTGTATTTGTGTGTTTTCAAATAGTAAATGCTTCTGGACCCAATGAAACTGGCCAGAACAAAGAAGAGCATGAATAGAGCTATCATTTGATGTTTCACTGATCCTTATTGGTCTGGCCAATTCCAACTGACACCCTGGTTTTGGTTTTAGTATTTGCTCGCTGGTCACTGACAAATGGTAGACAATGGTTTTAGCTATTTTTGCAATATTTTTTAAAGCCAATTTTAAACTACTGGGAGTACAGTTGCCTTGAAATATATCATGCGAATTCTGCATGTATTATTGCTGTAGAATATTTCTATTTGTTGATTGGTGTACAATAATTAGTATTTTATTTATGTGAGATTTTTATATTTACAACTGCAATTTCACCTTCACACACTTCCATGGCTGGGAACTATAATTTTCTGGGAGTCCCTACTAATAGGTATACTTGACTTGTGTCCTCCACTCTTCTCATATGTTGAGGGGGGGGTGATGAGCAGGGAGCAACTTATGCGCTGGCTCACATAAGCTCCCTCATAGAGCTAATGCAAATCCTAATATAGGGGAAGTCCCAGGCAAGTGAAATGCCCACCAGCCTTACTACCAAGAGCTTAAGTCGAGAAGACCCAGTATCAAATACTAGCCACTACCAATACCATCCAAATGGCACAACGCTGCCGAAACAAAGCATATAAACTAGTTAATAATGAGACATAGATCGTTGTACTGGCTACAGAAGATGACATCAAAACCTTATTCACTTGCTGTAAATCACTTAAAAGTTTAAAGTTCCCAGCCCTATCACTATGAGTTTAAGAGAAAACTTGATAAATATGTGAATGATAAGGGCTGGCTTTAAGATATTTCTTCTTTTTTTTTCATTTATTTATTAATAGTTTTAGTTTAGTTTAGTGAATGGAGCTTAACCTAATTAGTTACTAAATTAGTCTCAACCTGTTAGCTACATATCTAGATAATTAAAAATAAAAAGTAGATTTCAATTTCAGGGTAAATTGAGTGAAATTAAATATTACAAATACCAATACTATTAATAATAGTAGTAATACTACGAGTCATAGTATGACTATGATATGAGCTCAAATTCAAAATTGTTTTAATTGAAGTTAAACGAAATGGTCTATCTTACTTTTACTTACCCCTTTATTGATATTCCCAAAAATACTATCGGCGAGCATGTCAAATCCTCTTTCGAAAAAGAAAACTCCACCAACAACGGCGAGAGCATATGATGAAGATCGACGAAAAATAGTATGATAAACTCTGGTCACAAATCCAGCCATGGCGTCGTCTGACCTCTATCTACTAAAGGATAGGCTATAGTGTTGGAAGTTAGTGCTGCCCTCTGTCATTACGAGTTTATTAACTGTGAAATATGATTGAATTATTGTTTATTTCATTACGTCTTTCAGTTATGCACTAACAACAAAAATACATTTCTGTTGTATTTGATTACAAAGTTGTTCCGTAAATCGTTTATCCGATAAAAGTCGTATAACACTCAAAGTTCTGTTAATGAATAACTTGCTCTTTTATGAATGAAATGTCAATTGGAGAGTCTCATAACCAATCGTAATTGTTTACATTATTAATTAACGGTTTTCATTTGCACACTTGTCAAAAAAGAATTTATGATGAGCTAATTCAGCTTATGTCAAAAAAAAGTCAGGAAGTCAATTTTTGAAGACCTAAAAAAACCAGGTTATTTCAGTTTGTTAGTTGACTCAACACCTGACCTTTCTCATGTTCAACAACTGACTGTTGTTGTAGGTTATGTATCACCGGAAGATGGTCTTCCCATTGGAAATTTTTTATCTTTTCTCGAAATAAAAAACCATAGTTGAGAAAGTTTGGCAGACAAATGTATTGAATATTTAAAAGTCTGCAACATTGACTTCAGTAGGTGCAAAGGTCAATCGTATGACAATGCTGCCAACATGTCAGGACGATATCATGACATGCAAAACAAACTTCTGGGTGAAAAGAAATATGCTACCTACATCCCATGTGCCGCACATTCCCTAAATCTTGTAGGACCAGTAGCCATTGACTACTGCCTGGAAATAGTAAAATCATACAAGAATTATGTGTGTTTCTTCCCTACAAAACGCTGGGCAGCATTAGAATCATTTTTAGTTAAGGATTCTATTGTGTAGCTGATGATTATGAATCAATCACTGATGCTCTTAATCACATTCATACCAATGGCGATGAAGAAGGTAATACAAGAAGAGAAGCATGGATAAATGGAGGAATTTGAGTTTGTGTTCATGCTAGGGCTTTGGAATTGTCTGTTGGGCCAGTTCCACAACACTAGCAAGGCCCTGCAGGACGGAAAGATAGCTCTGAATACATGTTCAAAACTTTATGCATCTCTTTCTCACTTCTTGCAAAAAAAAAAAAAGAAAGAAAACTCTGAAGGTTTTGATTACGTCGAACTCAAAGCAAAGCAAAGAAATACTTACCTGGTGTAGACTACAAGTACCTATAAACGGAAACAAATTAGGGGAAAAAGTTGATGATGGTGATGCACCTAATGTTGATCAAATGCTATTCGCAAGAGACAAGTTTCGAGTGAAATATTTTATTCACATTAAAGATACAATTGAAAGCAACTTGAAGAAACAATTAATCACCTATGAAACTTGGCAAACAATTTTTCGTTTCTGGTTGATCTAAATACTTTGGAAAAACATGTTGCGTCAGCGAGGTCACGTGACTAGTATCACGCCACCTCTTTCTAGAAATATCCTGTTCCTTCAAGAATGCCCTAGCATTTACTAGATATGTGTTAGTCTTGTATATATAGGACGTTCACAACGTGACGGGACAACAGGGTAAGGAGTAATTGAACTGCAGTCAGAGAGTGTGTAATTGAACGGAGTATTGTTGAAGTTGAGCACGTGAGACGTTCGTTTTTATAGCATTTGTTATAGCGCGACTGTTGAAATTTAGTGTATCGCAAAGTTATATTCAGAAAGAATAAACCAGTTTTATTTAAGAAGGACCTGTGTCGCTAAAGTTTCTTCGGAACGAAGTTACGGAAAATTAACTAACGAACGGAGACGTAACAAACAGTTAAGTTCAAGTGTAAAGCTTCTCATGAAAGAATATCCTTCAAACACTTCCATGCGTTCGTGAAGGAATATTATGCAGATAAGGTACCTTTCAATCATCAAGATCTTTATCAAGTTATAATTCAGGATATGGTTCAATCAGCATTTTTTAATGTTGAAGCACTATTACTTCGGTTTTTGAGTCTTATGGTGACAAAATGTCAGGTGAGAAAACATTTTCCCAATTAAAACACATCAAGAATGAACTGTGAACAACAATTTTGCAAGAAAAACTCTCCGCTCAAAGCATCATGCGCACTGAAAATGGCAAACTGCACAGACTTTGTTTCGAGGACATTATCGACGACTTTGCCCAGCAGAAGTCACGTAAAAAGACGTTTCAAATAAAATAAACTTTTTAAATGGGTAATCATTTTTATGCATGTAATCCTTATACAGTATATCTGTAGTATACGGTATGCAAATTCTTCTTCAATAGTAACATCAAATTTTTTGTATGGCCAGAGGGTCGGGGGCTTAATCTAGGCATAGCTTGGGTAGCTTTGGCCTCAGCATGTCTAAGTCTGGCCCTATGTGCAATACACGATGATGTCCGTAACATACCCCCCCCCCCCCCAAAGAAAGACGTCTGGAAAACGCGGAGGCCACGAAATGGCCTATGCTGCAAGCCAAGCGACACAATGGTTGCCATTTTACGGGGTAACATTTCTCACTGGAGTGAAACAAAAACATGACAATATAAACTGTTTCAGTTGGGCTACAAAATGTTCAAACTGCATGGTTGTATTTCTTTCTTTATTTAATTATTAAATTTTAAAATAGGAAAGATAATTTTGGGCCATCCTGTATACTGTCAAATTTTGTGGGTAAATAGCCTGGCCATGTGGCCAGGCTGTATGTTTTGTGATTATTAGATCGTCGTTTGTAATTACTGAATTATTGTTATTAATTTATTTGTAATTGTTATGTTCACAGGTGTAATATATTTGATTGGGGTTGAGCACACCATACCTGCCTTCTATAAAAGATGGGAAGTCTTATTTTATCTTTGGAAGCTCAGCAAGCTGAATGTGTGGTGCGTAAACAAGCTATATGCTTTTACTTCTATGTTAACATAGTGTTGTGATGCAATCTATCGTTGGGCATGTTCTTTTGGGTCATTTAGTAAAAATAATGGCAAATCCAGTCCACATAATAATTAACGAATTTATGTATTTATCCAGTAAGTGAATAACGTTTGTTACAAACAACGTTTGAAAGCTTAATTTGAAATAGGATGGTTCAAATAACGTTTTGCAGAATTTCCAAAAACTAATAAATACTTAACTCAGAAATAGAAAACTTACATGCAGAATTTCAATTACAGTCGCATTAACCCTAACAGCCAAATTGTAACTCAATCACAGAGGCAAAAACGTTTCTGCCTAACTGACACTGAACTAACTTGATCATTAATTACTCATTGAATATTTCACTGATACACTAAGTATTGTATTTATACTGTTATAAATTACATTTTCAATGTTTTGATTTAAATGCTTGATAGACAATGCATGACGTTACGATCTAGAAAGTTAAGAATCGAGAAAATTCCTGTAATATGTAGAAACAAGGATAAGATATGACTTGAGTAATTAGTGACGAGTCAGCATCAGAAAAGTAATTTATTGTTATAGTGTGAACGCCCTTTCCGAACTGGTGAAGCATGATTATAATTAATTATGCTTGTCATAAGACATTAGTATTAGACCAAATATATTTTAACACCGTATTCTTTATCTAGTTCCTTAGAGATTTTAAAAAATTAGGTGAATGTATAATAATAGTATAACAACCACACTATGTTTATTATATTCATTGCCAATGGCGCGTTTCACTGAATCCAGAGCTCATTGAGACCACTGAGACACAACCAACACAATAGTGGTTAGAGCACTATTTACACAAGCCGTGTGTTACAGCAACAATTGTTGAGGTGTGAAAGCTTCTTCCAAGCTGGTGAAGCATAGTAATTAATTTTACTTTTTACCAGAAATTAGCATTGAGCCTATTATATTTTTAACACTGTGTTCTTTATCTAGTACCTTAGGGATTTTCAAAAATTCGGAAAGTGTGTAATGATAATATTCCAATGATGCATTTTGCTCAGTTCAGAGTTCTTTGCTGATTTGAGATGAGTGAACATGATAAATTGCGTCGAGACCTTTCGATTACCGTGAGCAAATAAATTATCAAAATGTACTGGAACAGTCCTAATGGTTCAATACATTAGACCGAGCATCAAAATACTGGCAAATCAAGCTGGTTGTGGTTGGCTAGAGCAAACTTGAGACTGCTTTTAGTATGAGAAATGGCTTGTATGGGTTTAAATTCATGCTGTTTGGTTTGTATAACGTATCTGTCACTTTCAAGAGGTTCATGGAACTTACACTGTATTGACTGAAATAGAAGTGCCTCATCTATGTATGTCAACGACATCTTAGTATTTGGTCACACATTCAAGTCTTGCTGTAAACATGAAAATTGTATTCCAGTGGATAAAAAAGCAGGCTTGAAACTTAAACTGGGAAAGTGTGCCTTCATGTACATGGAAGTGGAATTTCTCAGTCATACTGAGGATAGAGATGGAATTTCCATGAATTCTGCTGAAGCAGTACAAGACTGTGACCAAGTGAGAAGTTTACAATTTCATAGGTTTTGCCTCATATTATTGATGGTCTGTTCTCAACTTCACCAAGATTGCCACACCATTATCGACTCTGGCTCTCACTAAAGCTGAAGTGCATTTCAGATGGAGTGAGGAATCTGAGCAAGCAATCCAGTCCCTGCAGCAAGCTTTAGTAGAAGTCCCGGTGCTGGCATATACATGACAGGGCTATGAGTTGTTTTTGGATACCAGTAACAGTACTAGCGGAAATGAACCAGTGTTATTGCATTTGCAGTAAGGAATATTATGTGTTATTCTGTATGCTAGTCATAGCTCATAGTTTCTGAATGCAGATAATGTATGTAGTAGTGTAGTGCTAAATTTTATAGTGTTAGAACCCTGCCATTTGTGATGTCATTATCACGATAAATAACTCATATCCAAAAGCTATTCTCAATTTTTTAGTTCATTTTTAAAGAAAGAAAATATGCGCAGCACTAATTATTTGAGACTATTTACATTAATATGAAATACGCATATATTAGAGAGAGAAAATACACAACTCAACGTTTTTTAAAGTTAGCAGCAAGGGAAAAAC